CCCCTTTTCTGACTTCCCTTCTTGGGGGCTGCGAGTGCGGGTATGTGTCGAGGAGTGCGGCACGTTGGGGACAGGAGTGTCCGGCGCGTTAAGAGGGGGCAGAGGCGCCTAGTGGGCTGCCGTTGCGGGCCCCGAGCTTGCAGGGACTCCGCCAGGGGTGTGTCGGGTGCGGGGTGCGCCTGCTGCTGCGTGAGCATGTCATTGCGAACAGCCGTCAATGCGGGCGCGCGTCCACGGACGCGGATGTGTGGAGCTGCGCGTCGTTGTGGGACGCTGTTCATGCCCCCGGGCGCACGCATCTTACCCCGTGGACGGGACGATGAGTGCCGCTCGTCGCAGATATGGTTTGGGCTCGTTACAATGACGGATACTGGGTGGGAGCCGCGCGCATGGCGTCCTCGACGTCGTGGTGGGGCGCCGGCCATGGTGCCATCGCCAGCTCACCATGTGCAGCGACGGGAGCATCGTCCACCTCCCGCCCCGTTCGCGTGCCAGGCCACGCGACGCCGATTCCGAGGGTAGCGTGAGGGGCGCTGGGGCGTGCACTGTCCTGCTGTCGGGTGTGGATTTACCCCTTTTCTTTAGTGGCAGAGTCTCTCTGTGCTTCCGCGGGCCGTCTCTTTCTTTTTCCGCGTGGAGTCCTTTTCGCTATCTTTCTGCTCACTCTATTTTCCTCTTTATTCCTAGGCGCCCGCTTTCTGCCTAGGTGGGCGAGCACAGAGTATCTTCTATGTCAATCTCCGTCTTCGTCTGCCTCGGTGGGTGACAGGCATCTGTCCTACCGTTCTGCCGTTCACTCATTCCGCTCTTCCTTGCTACCAGTTAATCGTTCGTCCTGGCTCCTACACGCTTCGGTCTTTCTCGCTACTATCTACCTGTTCTGATGTCTTCCCCAGCTTGCTCCTGCTCCGGTTTTTCTCGCTCTCCCGATTTTCCGTTTTGCTGCAAATTCCTCATTAGTCTGTGTCCCTGCTGAAATGAGAGGAGCCGGCCATTACTTCCATTCAAGGCGAGGAGGACTAGACACAAACGACGACTGGTAGCGATGTTTTTTTTTTCATTGGGCCGTAGCTCGACGTGATACGGGAAGCTGAGAGGGCCGTTCGAGATCTGAGCAGCAGTCTCGTTTACTAGGTATTTATAGTTCAACTCAATTCAATTTACGACTCATTCATTCCGTTGGAGCGTAGCGGGAGCTTTCATTCATATTTTTACACGACTTCCTTTACAATCAAATTTGGGAGTGCAAGCCATAATATCTATATATCAACGCCCAACGACCGTTTTGGCTCCTGCAATGCGGTATTAATGTGCATCGAGACGCGAGGCATCCTCCGAGCTTCCGACCCGACCAAGTTTATTTCTAGTACTGAACCCGAATCAGCATTGCATTCGCGCAGCTGAACGAGGGGCAAACATACAGTGATCCACCGGCCACTGGAACACTCAGTTGTGAGATGTTCCCTGATCCTACCAAGCTCAATGTTGCTTATATTAAAGTACAATACATAAAAACATGTTCCCCTAATTCCAATACTTCATAACTAATCAGGGAGGGGAGAAATAGCTTCACATCAAATCCCGATTTGGCAGGGAATTTGATCCACCTGTCACTGAAACACTCGATTTCGGCCAGTACCGACTCATTTCTAGCTCAATCAGCATAAAATCTTGGGTGGAGCTATTTACATGACATAGAACACATTTGGCATCTTCAGAGTTCCCAGAAAGTCGATCAAATTGTAGAGATCAGGTCCGCAATTTAACTGTTTCAGTGACCGGTGGATCACTGTCCCTTGGATCTTGCTTGCCGGACCATCTGCGAGCGCACCTTGCGAGTGGATGGATAATATGTTGGCGGAATGCACGTTCTGTAGCTCAAATGGCCCTGCATATATTAGGTTTCATATTCTTCCGTTTAGTTTAATATCAGGCTTACAGTCAACTCGTAGTAGTATAAAACCCGTAGTGTCGAGTCGCCTCCCCTCAGACTTCGTACCACTTGTGTGCGCGAAGACTGAGGTGAGCGACTCTTTTCTTTACTCTGATTCATCTATTGACTCATTATGTAGTTCTTATCTTATAGGTGAATATATCAGACTTTGTACCACTTGCATGCGCGAAGACTGAGTTCTTATCTTATAGCTCTCGCGCACTTTGGTTGTCTCAACTCAACATAATAGGCTTCGAATATGACGCAATGCGCGAGGTATGGGGTGCACGCAGCGCGTGACAGTAGGCTAGCCGTTGCATTCGGCCGTCTCGCTCACCCGAATCTTCCGCGGGTATCGTGGACACTAAGTTTTCTTTCCAGTACTGGAAAAATTCAAGTTGAAGTCGACACGAGATTCGATGCAAACAAGGATGAAAGAAATGCACCTCGGCGTCCTGCATCGCGCACGGATTCACGGGCGCCCTACCGGCGCCCTCCGGCACTGGGAGGCAAGGGCGCGTTCACCCGCTGCAGCATCGGCGCGGCGCGGCGCTTGCTGGTATGCGGGCTCGTGTTCGCGAAGCACAATACTGCGGCCTCTGAGCCGGGGCCGGGCGCAGCGGTGTGCGCGGGAACTGGACGGGAGATGGTCGCCTTGAGCTGGGACTTCCGACTCTGCCCGCGGGTGCCTAGTTTAGCATGCGCGCTTTGGGCGGCAGTGCGCTCCTTAAAAATCTGCGGACGAAAACAAATTAGATGTGAGGAGGGGAAGGGAACAGCGACGCACGTTTTGGAGGAGGGGAGCTTCCCAGCTGAGCTCTTGTACGCCCAGTACATCATCCCAAAGATACCACACCCGGAGAGGACCCGGACGGCGATTGGGATGCAGTTCAGGATGTACGGCGGCGGCACAGGGGCGAATGTGCTCCAGGACGTCGGTGTAGGAACGGCGCTCGCGATCGGCGTTGCGCTTGCGCTGTCGACGGTGCGGGCGGAGGAGAGATATCGAGTAGGGACCATTGTTAAGAGTATGTTTTGCGAGTATGATTTGAGGAAATATGTGAAGTCAGAGGGCGAAGGTGGGAGTTACTTTTATACCCCACGCAAATAGGGGTGAGACATTTTCTGCCCCTGCGCCGGCCATGTTTCAGGCGGAAGCTGTTGTGTCGTCTGCGCCTGGACGAGCCTAGATGCAGCTCTCGCTGCCCAGAATTGTCTAGAGGGTCCAGTACGTTCAATCTTCGACCGGAGGCGTCATAATAGTTCTCATGTTGACTAGGGTTGAGCAATTCAAGTTTTTCGGTGAAAAAATTGGTGAAAAATGTCCAGGATTTTACAGAAACTTTTCACTGAAAAAGTAGGGAGAAATTTTAAAACTTTTTCAGTACTTTTTGACGTGTTTCAAATTTTTCACCTTAAAAATGAAAAAGTAGTGAAAACATTCTAAGTTTTCACTTATGGTTTCAGTGATAAAAGTGTGAAAAATAATGGAGATTTTTCACCAATTTTTTCACTGAAAAACTTGAAATGTTCAACCAGTGTGAAGAGTTCAACATGTACGTGATCAGGTTCAAAGTCGCAGAAAGTGCGCGACGTTCATTTCGGACGTTCGAATCTTTGCCTTGGCGATGTAAACTACAGTGATCCACCGGTCACTGACACACCACCAGTCACTGAAACACTTTTTTTCAAGCTCTCTGCTGGTCATACTGGGCTCAAACCTAGTTCATATTGCAGCACCATACATAAAAACACTTCCCCTCAAGTCTGATAGCTCATAACTAGTGAGAGGAAAGAGGAATAGCCCCAGATCATTTCCTGATTTGGCAGGGCAGGCAATCCACCACTCACTGAAACAAGTGGATTTCGGCTGTTGAGCACTCAATTCCTCTTCAATAAATCTAAAAAAATTCAAGGACCAAGGTATAGCACATATAATACATTTGGGTGCTTCAGAATTCCAGAAGATATAGTAACACTATAGATATCAGCTCGATGCCTTGATTTGTTTCAGTGACCGGTGGATCACTGTATACAGGCTTCTGAGTATAAAATACAGAACTGTCGTTTCTGCCTCCGACTTGCACTCCAAATGAACTGGACCGTTTCCGCTCATGCGAATACAGTTCAACTTGTGAAAGGAGATGATTGGTAGTGGGTAAAGAATGGGAAGGTTCGGTGGTGGATGGTCCGCGTCTGTTATCTATGGGAGGCCGACGTCATTAGACCACAAGCAGAAGGAGCCTGTTCGATCCAGGTCTGAGCCATGCGCCCTGGAGAACGATTTTTTGCTCTGCCTCTGAAGGGTTTACGAAGAAATCTCTTATATAATTACAACTCAGTGCAGGAGAAGCCTGTTCGATTCGGGCCTGAGCTATTACTCGGTGTCGTGTTTTTTTGTCCGGTTCTTGAAAAATTACGGCATATGAATAAGACGAATGGTAGTTATAGGTTGGGAAGGCTGGGTGGTGGATGGTCCACATTCGAGTTCTATGAGGGACGAAGATATTATACAACAAGCAGAAGGAGCCTGTTTGATTCAGGCCCGAGCCGTTAGTCGGAACTCACCATTTTTGCTTGAAGCGATTTGGAATAGTTCCGGTGTGTAAAACCAAAGGCGAGGCCAGGCAGGATAAGACAGGCTCGGTGTTCAGGCCCGAGCCATTAGTCGGAACTCACATTTTGGCTTGAAGTGATCTGGAATAGTTCTGGTGTGTACAATCAAAGGTGAGGTCAGGATAAGACAAGCTGCACTCTATAAGTTGGGGTGTAACAAATTGAGCAGAAGGAGCCCGTTGAATTCGGGCCCGAGCCATTCGTAGGTGCTGAGTGGATTTTTTGTCTTGAACCAATTTGGGATGACTCTGGTGCATAAAACGAAGAGTAGGCAGAGGCTGAGAACGGCTTGGCGGTGGGTGGCCCACATCATACATACATGGGTCGAAGAGTCGAGCAGACAATGCCTGTTCGATTCGGGCCGGAGCCATTTGTCGTTCAAAGTGTTTTTGCTGTGAAGCAATTTGGGATGACTCTAGTGCATAAAACCAAGGTAGGCAGAGGGAGAAAAGGTTCGGTGGTGGGTGGTCCACATCTGCGCTTTATATATGGGCATCCAAAAATTGAGCAGAAGGAGCCTGTTCGATTCGGGCCCGAGTCATTAGGTGGAGGTCACCAATTTTTGGCTGAAGCAATAGGGAATAAATCTGGTACATAAAGGCAAGGGTGGGCTGAGGATAGGACCGACTCGGTGGTGGGTCGTCCACGTCTCCAGTCTATTTGTAAGAACAGATAAAGAGAGTTAAGCAGAAGGAGCCCGTTCGATTCGGGGCCGAGCCATAAAAGGAGTTTGAACTTTTTTGCATCCGCACAACACAATTCTGTGTGAGAGAAAGTCAAGCAGAAGAAGTCTCAGGCCTGAGCCATTTGTGAGTGTTCCCGATTTTTTTTTGCTGCAAAGCAGTTGGGAATAATTCTGGTGCATAACATTTTTGCTGTGAAGCAATTTGGCATAAAACCAAGGGTAGACAGAGGGAGGAAAGGCTTGGTGGTGGGGGGTCCACGTCTGCTGTCTACTTGTAAGAAAAGAGAAAGAGAGTTAAGCAGAAGGAGCCCGTTTGATTCGGGCCCAGCCATTGTATGCAGTGCAAAGTCTTTTATCAGTACCCGCCGTTTGAAATAATTCTTGCATGGGATTGAGATTAGTTTGTGGGTATTCAAGGCTCGATGGTGGGTGGCCCACATCTGCACTCTATATAATGGTCTGAGAAAATTGAGCAGAAGGAGCCCGTTCGATTCGGGCCTGAGCCATTCATGAGTGCAATTGAATTTTTTGTCTTGAAGCAATTCGGAGTAATTCTGGTACATAGAACGAAAGGTAGGCAGAGGGAGGTAAGGCTTGGTGGTGGGTGATCCACATCTGCACTCTATGGCCCAGAAAGCAGAGAAGAGTTAAACAGACACAGTCTGTTCCTCAGCCACGACACGCGAGGTCACTGCATTTTTGCTGGGGAGCAATTTGCAATGATTCTCGTGCATAAAACCAAGGGTAAGCTGAGGATAGGAAGGCTCGGTGGTGGGTGGCCCACATCTGCACTCTAGATGGGCCGGCCAAAATTGAGCAGAAGGAGTCTGTTCGATTCAGGCCCGAGTCATTGATCCGAGCAATTGGATTCTTTGCTGTGAAGCAATTTTCAGTAATTCTGGTGCATAAAAGCAAGGCAAGGAGAGGTTGAGAACGGCTTGGTGGTGGATGGTCCACATCTGCACTATGTTGTGGGTCACAGTTACGACAAAAACTTGCGCAGAAGGAGCCCGTTCGGATCGGGCCCGAGCCATTCAGTGGATGTCACGATTTTTGCCTTGCAGCAATTTGGAATAAATCTGGTGCATAAAGCAACAGTAGGTACAGGGTAAGGAAGGCTCGGTGGTGGGTGGTCCATGTTTGCGCTCTATTCGATCATTTGTTCTAAGCCACAGTTAAGCAGACGAGCCTGTTCGATTCAGGCCTGAGCCATAACATATGAGGTCACTGCATTTTCGCTTTGAAGCAATTTGGAGGAATTCACATGCATAAAACTAAGGGTTGGCAGAGGGAGGAAAGGCTCGGTGGTGGGTGGTCCATGTTTGCGCTCTATTCGATCATTTGTTCTAAGCCACAGTTAAGCAGACGAGCCTGTTCGATTCAGGCCTGAGCCATAACATATGAGGTCACTGCATTTTCGCTTTGAAGCAATTTGGAGGAATTCACATGCATAAAACTAAGGGTTGGCAGAGGGAGGAAAGGCTCGGTGGTGGGTGGTCCATGTTTGCGCTCTATTCGATCATTTGTTCTAAGCCACAGTTAAGCAGACGAGCCTGTTCGATTCAGGCCTGAGCCATAACATATGAGGTCACTGCATTTTCGCTTTGAAGCAATTTGGAGGAATTCACATGCATAAAACTAAGGGTTGGCAGAGGGAGAAAAGGCTCGGTGGTGGGTGGTCCACATCTGCACCCTATGATCTTCTTCCAAGGCAGATAAGCAGATAATGCCTGTTCGAATCGGGCCCGAGTCATTGATTCGAGCTAACACGATTTTTTGCCACGAAGCAATTTGGGATGCATAAAGGAACAGTAGGTACAGGGTAAGGAAGGCTCAGTGGTGGGTGGTCCACATCTGCACTTGTTAATGGCGTAACAGAATCAAGCAGAGGGAGCCTGTTCGAATCAGGCCTGAGCCATCACATATCACGACCCTACCTTTTTGCTGTGAAGCACTTTGGGATGGTTCTGACGCATAAAACCAAGGGTCGGCAGAAGGAGGGAAGGCTCGGTGGTGGATGGTTCACATCTGCATTTTATGCTTTCGGAAGATGCATAGTTAAGCAGAAGCAGCCTGTTCGAATCGGGCCCGAGGCATTAGTAACAGACTCACAGTGAACATTTTTTTCCCTTAAATGAATTCAGAAAGATTGTGGTGAATAAAACCAAGAGTAGACAAGGATAAGAATGGCTTGGTGGTGGATGGTGCACATCTGCGTGTTGTGATGTTGTGATAGAAATCTGCGCAGAAGGAGCCTGTTCGATTCGGGCCCAAGCCATATTTCGGTCGGGTCTTTTTTCTTTCGTTGGTGTTGCTCCTTTTTTCGAATGATCAGCAACAGCCTGATTTACTCCTGACTCGAACAGTGGAGAGCTATTGTGGGCTGCTCGCGCTAGGTACAGTCAAGGTACAGTATCATATCATGACAGGCGGTTCGCAAGATACGTGGCACCGGTGGGACACGTAGGCTTCCAGTAGCCCCTCGCTCTCAGCCAATTTGCGAGGTGCAGTTGGTTACAGAGAGTGTGTGCGGATCGTCGGAGACGGAAGATCGGTGTGAGAAAGGAAATTGTGACTAAACGCCGAGTGATCTGCGGGCGCTCCGCGTTTATCTGCTCACACAGCATGATCCCCGTCTCTCACCCGCAGCCTGCATGACCGCGTCGCTGCCCACCTACACCGCCGTCAACGGCCACACTAACGGCTACGACTACCCCCCACGGGCGAGCAGCACTGGCAGCAGTACCAAGGCGCTCCTCTCGCGGCTGTCCTCGGCCGGTGTGTCCCCGCCCACGCGCGTACGCCGCCTCCTCCTCTTCGTCGCCGTCCTCGCCCTCAGCTCCACGCTGCTCGTCTACATCGTCTTTTCCGACGCTCTCTCCGCTTCCACCTTCTCCTTCGCCGTCCCGCAGCACGAGTATGCCTACACCGATGATTATGCCGAGGGCAACGACCCGCGGAGCCCGTTCTTCCGCGACGCGCACCCGGCGCTGCACGCGCGGCTCTTCCTCGCGCGCGCGCAGGCCGAGATCCGTGCGCGCGGGCTCGATACGTGCGGCGGGCAGCTCTCCGCGCCGATGGTCGACGCCTATCTCACTGCCGCTGTTCCTTACTGCGTGCCCGCGGACAGCGCGGCAGACAACAGCAGCAGCATAACGTGCTTCCCCGCACGCGCGGGCCCGGGGACGCCGAACGCGTGGTGGCCGTACCCGCAGGCCTTCTGCGCCTCGCGCAACCTCGCGCACACGGAGGGGTGGGCCCGCAGTGGGGAATTCACCGGCGCGTGTGTCGTTTCCGAAGGGGGGAAGCGGCTGAAGGGGGATATGGGGACCGAGGGGTTTTTGGGGGCCGAGTTTCGCGAGGGGTGAGTCTCGTTCTGGATCTTCTACTTCAAAGTTAACGGGGACACGGAAGGGACGCGGAGGGGAAGGACCAGCAGTGCGGCGAGACGATCAAGCACCCGGTGCTCTTCGTCCCGCGGCAGGACCGCTGGAACCCGTTTCACGTCGGCGAGGACCTCGTCACCACCTTCCTCGCGCTCACCCTCTTCTCGCGCCACGTCGCGCCCTCTTCCTCCGCCTCAAATAACCTATGGACGACCCTCCCCTCCTCCCTCCTCTCTTCCTCTCCCTCGGCGGCAATAGCAGAACTGCAGAAAGAGCTCGCGCCCGCGGCGCACCTGCAGCTCATCTTCCAGGACGACCACCTGCCGACGGCGTCGCTGTTCGCGCCGCTGTACGACCGCATCGGCGCGTGGACGCCAAGGAGGACGGCGGCGGATGCGTTGGGCATGGGGGGTGAGTTGTTCTTTCAGTTTTTCATGTTCCCTTCCTCTCGCCCCATCCTCGTCCGTCCCCGCGTCGTCACCGCTTCTGTACCTCCCTCCCTCCCCTTCTTTCTTGCTTCATGCGCCTCCACATCCCGGGTCCCCCTGCTTTATATCCTCCCCAGTTCACATCCCGCGTCCCGTACACGTATTCGCCGCGTTCCTGTTGTTGTCATTCTCATTCCCATTGGTATCCGTATGCCCTGCCCTCCCTCGGGCTCGGGCTCGGGCTCGGGCACCCGAGACCCCGAACGGGCGCGCGCGCCAATCCGTCCCCATCCTTCTTTGTCACCTCGCACTTCATCTCGTCCTATGTACTCGCCCTTCCCATCCTGTTGCACTCTCCCCCGCGTTTCCGTCTCCGTCTCCCTCCCTCGCTCCCACCCCTGTCCTGTCCCGCCCGCGTCCCCGTACATCCTATTTTCTTTCCATCCATTCCATTTATACACACGCGTGTGCCTCCCACGCACCCCGCTTCCCTCGGTTTGGTCGTCCCATCCATCCTCCCCCACCCTCGCTCCATCCCCTCCGCTACCGCCCTCCTTGTCTTGTCCTACGCCTCCTCCCCTCGTTCTCCCGCCCCCGCCTGTATCCCCATCCCCGCCTTCCCATCCCATGACATCATAATTCTCATATAACGCCCTCCCTCCTGCTAATTTCCTCCCCGCATCCTCGCATTCTCCTCTCCTCCCCCCTCACGCGTCATCTCCCGCCCGTACCTCCTTCCTCGCTCCCTTCCTCTTCCTTCCTCGCGCCCCGCCCTGTCCCGGCCGCGTCCGCATACACCCATTCTCATCCCAATGCATACGTGGGCTCTATCGCCCGTCCGCGTTCCTTCCCTCCCCTTCCCGAGCCTCCACCCTCCCTCCGCACCTACCGCTTCATCTCCCGGCCTCTCCCCTCCCCGCGCATTCCTAACACTCCGCGCCTCCTTGATTCCTCCTTGCTCGCCCTACTCCACCCATGTTCCTTCCGCGCGCGCCCCGTCCCTTTCCCTCGTCCTCCGCCCCAGCATCGCTTCCTTTCGCATACTTCGTTTCCTTGCGCCCTCCCTTCCTCCTCTCCCTCGTTCTCGTCATCGTCCCCTCTCATTCTCGCCTTCGTATCCTCGTCCTCCTTGCTCCCCTAATGTCCTTCGTCCTTTGTCTTCTCTCCCCCTTCGTCCTCCCCCTCCCCCCCTTTCTTCCTCCCCCTTCTTCCTCCCGTCTCCATTGACTCACCTCTCTTTCGCAGCCCCAACCTGCTTCACCACCGCCTTCCACTCCGTCGGCGCCGGCGCCTCGCTCCTCAGCGCCACGCGCGTCGCCGCGGAGTACACGTGCGCGAGCGAGCTCGTGTGGGGCGCGAGTCTGTGGTTGAGGTGGGTGTGGGGGATGGAGGGGCTGCCCGGGGCGGGGGCGTCTGTTGCCGCGTATAAGAGGGGGGAGGGGGGTTCCGCTTATGAGAGAGGGGGAGAAGAGAGGGAAGACGAGAGGGAAGGGAAGGCGAATGAGAAGAGGGAGTGGGCGCCGCACGCGGAGCCGGTGCAGGTGATCTTTTTGTCGAGGGAGAAGTTTGATGCGTTTACGAGGTGCGTTTTCCGTCCCGTTTTCTATTTTGGTGTTGTAGTCTTGGGCGACATGGGCATCGCGCCCGCACACCGCGTCTCTTTCTTTCGTGGTGCTGTGGCTGCAGCCACACCGTCTCTTTGCACCGAATTCGCTCGGTCTTTTGCACCGGGATTCGCCCACTCGCTCATTTCCCGCCTCACTCGTTTCTTTTCCTCGTTTCCTCGTCCCCCCTCCCACTCGCACGGTCACGGTCGCTGACACGCGCACAGGCACAAAGACGCGAAGCTCACGGGGTGGCAGGAGGCGCGGCACATCGCGAACGAGGGCGCGCTCGTGGCGGGGCTGCGTGCGGGGCTCGCGGGGGCGTGTCGGGTAAGGACTGCGGTGGGGACGGGTGAGTGGTCTTTTCTATTAAACAGGGAGGGGGGAGGCGCGAAAACACATTGGCGGGACCTGCTCACGCAGTCGGACGGTGTGCGTGGTCCCCGATAGCGACACGTCGCCCCGCGCGGTTGTGGCTCTGAGACCGGCCTTGCAGCACGCGCGTCGATCCGGGGCCTGTACGATGGCAAGGCTTGCGACTCGCCTCGTCCTTCGCTATCTCCCTCCCTCCCTTCTTACTTCTCACTGCACCCAACTCCCCGCTGACGCTCCCGCCCTCCCTCAGGATCGGACGCAAACCACAAACCCGCCGCGGGCGCGCACGAATGCACGTACACGGACGCGGACGCGCTACCCGACGCGTGGGGCGTGGCGCTGCACCCGCGCGAGGCGCGCGCGCTGGGGGTGCGGCGTGTTGCCAAGGCTGGTGCTGGGGCGGTATATGCCAATAGGACTACCGCGCGCAAGGACGACGACGCCACCACGCACACCGACGACGACAGCATCACGCAGGCAGACAGGAGGAGCATCTCCGCGCCGCGCGCGCTGCGCTTCGCGACGCTGGACCCGACGACGAGCGCGCTCGCGGCGCAGCTCGGCGCGGTGGGGCGCGCGGACGTCGTGGTGAGCGTGCACGCGGGCGCGCTGGGGCTCACGCTGTTCATGCCGCCTGGGCGCGCGAGTGTTGTTGAGCTGGTTACGAAGGGCGCGAAGGGGGTGAGTCATTCCTCTAGTTTTCCCTTTCGTTCGGTGGATTTCTTTGTCTTCTGTTCTTTGCGTTCCGCTCCTTCTTTTCCCTGGGGGTGGCGGGGTCTCTCTCCCCACACGGGCGCTTGTCGGGCCTTGTGTCTTGATTCGCTTCGCTGTCATCATCCGTCCTGCCGTTCTTCCTTGCTTCCGGACATCCGTTCTTCCGGCTATTTGTGTTCTTTGCTATCTTGCACCCACCCTCCCTGCCTACAGCCCTTAACCCGTACTACCGCCCTCCCATGTCCTCCCTCCCCACCTCCGTTTATCCGTTCACCCCTCTCCTTGCTGCCGTCTACCCGTATTGCCGCCCTCTTTGACATTGTTCTTTGACATTGTCCTCACTTCCTGCCTCCTTGTCGACCCGTTCTGCCGTGTGCATTTCCCCGTCCACCTCCACCCCCTGTCACTTCACCCGTTCACCCGTACTGCCGTTCTCCCATACTCTCATCCTTCCGTACTGCCGTCCTGCCTTTCTCCCGTTCTTCCCCTCGCATCTACTGCACTTCCTTTTCCCGTTCTTCCGTTCTGCCGCCCTTCCGTTTTCCCGTTTTACCGTACTACCGTCCTCCCGCCTTCCCGTTCTACCGTTCTACCGTCCTCCCGTCCTCCCGTCCTCCCGCCCTTCCATCCTACCGTCCTCCCGTTCTGGCGTCGTCCTGCCTTTCTCCCGTTCTTCCCCTCGTATATCTTGCACTTCCTCTTCCCGTTCTTCCGTTCTGCCGCCCTTCCGTTCTCCCGTTTTACCGTACTACCGTCCTCCCGCCTTCCCGC